CTCCATGTTGAGTATGCAGCCCAACATGCGACTGGATTCCATGACTTGAGACGAAACCAAGAGTCTGGTGCTTAAACAACTGAGCCTCCTAGGTGCCCCAAAGCTATGGAGAATATAAAATGTAATTATTTCCAACTCAAATGTATGATCACTATAAAATACAGACTGGAATTTGAGTTCTTAATGCAAAAATAATATAAAATATTTCATTAATTTTTTATATAGCTTGTATTTGTGGATCACATCATATTTCTATTCTGATGTAGAATATATAGATAGAACAGTGATATGGGACCATGAAAGAAATCTTCCTTTAGCACGTGGAAGATTTGAAGAGATACCAAGAAGGTAAAAGTGAAAGTGTAAGACTGGCGATCTAGATTTCTAGGTTTAACATGAATGTGAGCACATTCAGCCAATATAGCTTCCATCCCACCATCAATGTTATATTGCTTTTCCTAGATTTACCAAGATATATTTGAAAAGTAACTTTGTGAAAGTTAACATATAAAATGTGATGATTTGATCCACATACATATTGTGAAATGATTACCACAATGGGATTAGTTAAGACCTCTATCCCTCATTTAGCTAATTTTTATGTGTATGGTGAGAACACTTAGGATCTATTACTACTGTCTTAGCAACTTTTAAGTATATACTACAGTATTGTTAACTATCGCCACTGTACTGTACTTTGAAGCCCCAGAATTCATTCATCTTATAACTGGAAGTCTGTACATTTTAACAAACATCTCCATTCCTCCCATCTCCTAGCCCCTGGCAAACACCATTCTGTTTCTATTAGTTTGGATTTTTTAGATTCCACATATAAGTGAGATCACACAGTGTTTGTCTTTTTCTGACTCATCTCACTTAGCATAATACCCTCAAGATCCATCCATGTTGTGCCAAGTGTCAGGATTTTCTTATTTCTCGTGGCTGAATAATAGTCCATTGTGTATTTATACTCTGGGCATGACCAAACATTCCTACTGCCCTTCAGGAAACACCGAGCTTCTTGTGGTTCTCAAGTCTTCCCAGTTAGCCCCAAGGCACTTCTAGTTGCTCATCTTGCCACCATATTTCTATAATTTTCAGGTTCTTGTGTACTTCCTCAACTCTGCAGCACTGAATGTGACTTTCCCCTCTCCTTGGCGCTTTCTCTTGTGCAGCCATAATATTGAAATAACTTTTTCTCATCTTTCAGGCCTCCCTTTGTCCCAGAGATGATCTTTTTCCCCATTGTAACTTCTGTTCAGATAAGAACCCCATCATGGACCAACTTCACTCACCAGTTTTTCTGTTCCGAGCCTTCACACTCCTGCTATGTGTAAGTGGTGGATGGCTTTACTTCCTGCTAGAATGTGAAACCCACACAGGATCCTCTGCTCCCAGCACAAGGTCTGATATAAATGAATGAATGAATGAATGCATGAATGAATGAATGAATATTTACACGGTCTTTATCCATCTTTTTGCTTTTATTCATAGGTGAACACATGGATTGCTTTTATATCTTAGCTATTGTGAATAATGCTGCAATGAAAATGGGAGTGCAGATATCTATTTGAAATCCTATTTTGATTTTCTTTGGATATATACACAGAAGTGAGATTTCTGGGTCATAGAGTAATTCTACTTTAATCTTTTGGGAAATCTCCACACTTTTTCACAGTGTTTGTACCAATTCCCATACCCATCAGCAGTGCACAGGATTCTCTTCTTCACATCCTTGCCACGACTTATTATCACTTGTCTTTTTGATACTTGTCATTCCATAGAGTGTAAGGTGATATATCATTGTGGTTTTGATTTGAATTTCCCTATTGATAAGTGATGTTGAGCATCTCCTTTTACTTACTTGTTGGTCATTTGTATGTCTTCTTTAAGAGAATACCTGTTCAGTGCCTCTGCCCAATTTTTAATCAAGTTGTTTTTTGCAATTGAGTTGCATACATTCTCTAAATATTTTGGCTATTAACCCTTATATAGATGGCTTGCATATATTTTTTCTCATTCCATACATTGCCCTTTCATTTTGTTGATTTCCATTAGATATTTTGTAGTGTTTAAAAAATGTTTCCAATTATAAATATTGAAAAAACCTCTTGATACCATTTGACCTCTAGCTACCACATCGTTTCCTTTGTTCAATTTATTTCCAAACTCTTTAAAATAATCTTCTATATTTTCTTTTAAATTTTATCCTCTCGTTCTCTCTTAAAATAGGTTTTTGCCTTTTGTGCTCTGAAATTGCTCTAGTAATGGTCTTCAAAGACTTCAGAGACTTAGCTTGTGCTAAATCACTGTCTATTTCTTTGTTTTTATTTTAATTGGCATTTTTTCGCTTTCTTTTCTTCTTTCTTCTTTCTTTTTTCTTTCTTTCTTTCATTCATTCTTCTGAGAGGCATGTTAGGACACCATATTACCTAGTTTTCTCCTAACTTTCTTGTCATTTCTTAGTCTTTTACACTGGTTTCTCATCTTATCAATCTTTGGACTTTGACATCCCAAGAATATAAAGATTACTCCAGGAAATTTTATCTCTATTTTTTTACAAGGTGATTTCAGTCAATGTTAAATGGCATCTGGAAGTTGATGATTCCAAGTTTTTATCTGTAGCCTGAACCCTCTCTCTTTAACATTAAACAAACACCCAAATGACTAATCAATCTTTCCAACTAAATACCTAGCCAAATGTGCCCAAACTGAGATTCTGATATGTACACTCTCACCAAACTTACACCTCCCACATTTTCCCAACTCATTTAATGGCAACTGTATTTTTCCAGTTACCCAAAAGCAAAACTTTGGGTAATCCCTGGCATGCAAGAATGCAAGTCATATCCTCACTTTCTGTTCCCAGCACATCATTTGGCGTCAAGAGTATGATTATTTTTTTATCATATCCATTTTCACCACCATGTAGAGGAAAACTCTTAGGTATATCAGAATGATAGAAATTAAAAGAAAGATTTTAATGTGTTTCTATAAACTGCATCTAAGGACCACCTTAAATGGTTGGAAGATATCTGGATAAAACTTGAAATTCCCATTGGGAATTAATAACATAGATAGTACCTATAATTTTGTATTTATTTACTTATATTATTATTATCATTTACAGATGAGCAAACTGAGAGCTAGTTTAGTAACTTGTCCAAGATTACATGAATCAATAAGCAAATCTCCTAGGATAACAACCTGAAATTCCTTCTTCCTTAACTCTGTGTTTTCCAGAAATAAAATTCAAAACAATAAAATTGAAAATAAAATGCTGTCTGCTTAAGACAGATAAGAAATAAGTTGGATTGTCTAGGTTAAATGTCTTATTATTTTCCAATATTTATTAATTAATACATAATATGGCCAACAGCCTATTATAGGTTTCAGGAGACACAAAGGAAAAGAATATAATTATTCTCAAACCTTCACAGTTTACTTGAAACCTGGAGGTGGTTCCAAGAGAGAAGCAGTTATAGTGCTGTAATCAAACTGGTTTGCTGTCTTTCCCAACAAATGCTGTTGGCACTCTTGTTGTCTTCTCAGATGCATCAAAAGACTATTGGTTTTTCTTCCATCTGATTTCTCCCACACAAATATAGATTCCACAAAGGCCTTTAAGTTGTTGCTATATTTTTCCTCCACCAATTTACATGATAAGGTACGTGGGGGTATCCTACTAGTTTGTTGTGTATTTTTCTAGGATTTTTGGGATTACTATCTAGTCATTCTATTTTAAACAACTATGTTGCTGCCACCATCCTCCAAAAACCCTTTCCTCAAGATTTTTAATGCAAATCATGAATAATTTTGTCTTATTTCTTATTGCATTCAATTTTTACAACTCATTCACGTCCCTGGAGCTCTTTATCCTTTTCTTTCTTCTCTTTTCAAATTCTTGAATTTGATCCTCATATCTGACTGTTGATCCTGCAGAAGTACAGACTTTGGCTCTCCTTGCCTCAAACTCAGACATTGTACTTGAATTAATTATAGTTTTTTATTTGTTTGTTTTTGTCAGGTACACATCACTTAAATCTCCAATGGGTGTATGATGCCTTTTCTGGTACAAGATGTTGAAAGGAGATATCATCACTAGGTTCACTAGATCTAGTGAAAATAAAACAAAACAAAACAAAATTTTTAAAAAGCAGTTATTTTGGGCCAGTTGTTAAGTTAGCAAAAAAAAAATAGCGAAGATGTTTGGGAACTTGGTAGACTATTGATAAAGGGTTGTTTGGTCTTTTGTTTTTATCTGGCAAACAAATTCTAGTCTCTATGTTTTCTTCCCCCAACTTTTATCATTACAGAGAATTTGTGCTGTCTCATACTGAGCATGAAATAACAAATTTTTATGCATTTTTCCATTCAGGACTAAGAACAAAACTGCCAGGCTAATGTTTTGAGTCTAGAATTGAGTCAAAGTTCAGATTGTATTTAAATCCAGTTTAATAGGATTAGTATTACACAGTATTCAGTTAATATGCCTTTTTGAATGAATAGAACTTGGAGAGAAGAAAGGAATAGCCATTGAGTATCACCATGCTGTACTGTAGCTTATGCATTCAGCTTGTACTGAGGTTTCCTATTTGTCAATGTCAATACCATGATGACATTAAGACAATTGGTAAATAAATCTATGGGTATTAATTTTTCATGAATCAAATTTCTAATAAGGTGATGGTTAAGTTCGTAAATGTTCAATTATGTAAGTTTAGGAAAACCATGACAGATCAAAGTGGTTCTAAATTGAGGCAAAGGTGGTATCCATAAGATAGAAAATTAATCCCAGATATGCCTATATCATAAAGCCTCTAATTTAGAGGCAATAAGAAAGGTCCTTCCTCATTTCACTGAATACATAATATCTACAGAGGAAGATATCAATACTGGCATATATATTTATTTATTACAGAAATTCTAATTACCTTCCTATACCTCTCTGCACTGGTGTACAAACTCCTTTGGTCACAGGTACATCTTTCTTTTCAAGATTAGTCTTCATCATATAACCTCTCAATGCAGCAAATTTTATTTGGTAAAAGACATATATCAATTCGCTTTTCACCTCTAAAGCAGCGTCTTCTACAGTGACCAAATTTGTTTGAGCACTGATCAGGATCTATCAAGGTACATGTGGCTATAGTAAAAGAAGAGTAACCAACATTAGTGATCTCTTATTTAAGAACATATTATTTTTTATTACAAAAAGTTCTACATATACATTGTAATAAACTTAGAAAATGCCAAAAATAAGAAGACACTAAAGTATTACATATTTCCATATACATATACAACATTTAAACATGTTTTAAATTAATATATATTACATTTTTATGCCATACATTATTTTTCTCAATAAGATCCACAAATTTTTTAGAGGTACATAATATTCCCTTGAAATATATGATAGTTCATCTAATTTTTCAATTAGGTCATATTTAAAGTTTTAATATTTGGAGATTATGATAAGTAAATTTTAGTATATATTTTAATATTTATATGATACATATTTAGGATAATTTTAGAAAAAATTAGATCCCAGGGTTATTAATTTTTATATTGCACCAACAATATATGTAAATTTTGCTCCTAAATAAAATGGGATACACTGCGATTTTAATTTTTATGCTGTTGGTATTTGTTTTGAACAGTTGTTTTTTCTTCATTTAATTGTTCATATTTTTGCTTATTATATTATTGTATAATCTTTTGGAAGAATTCATGAATTCTCTTCAAAATGTTTTTAGAGGTTTTGTTTTTTAGAGCAGTTTTAGATTTACAAAAAAATTGAGAGGAAGATATAGTGATTTCCTATATACTTCCTCCCCCTGTATATGCATAACCTTTCCCACTGTCAACCATCATCCACCAGAAGGGTACATTTTTTACAGAGCATAACCTACATTAACACATAAGAACCACTCAAGTTGGATAGCCCCGGTGGGTCATTGGTTTTAGCGCCGCCTTCAGCCGCAGAGTGTGATCCTGGAGACCCGGGATTGAGTCTCACATCGGGCTCCCTGCATAGAGCCTGCATCTCCCTCTGCCTGTGTCTCTGCCTCTTTCTCTCTGAGTCTCTCAGGAATAAATAAATAAAATCTTAAAAAAAAAAGAACCACTCAAGTCCATAGTTTGCATTATGGTTCATTCTTTGTGTTGTACATTTCTATGGGTTTGGGTAAACGTATAATTAAATATATGTTATTATAATATCATACAAAGTATTTTCAGTGTCCTAAAAATCTTCTGGGCTCTGCTTATTATGTCTTCCCTTACTCCTGTGGCAATCATTATCTTTTTTATTGCCTTCATGGTTTTGCCTTTTCAAGAGTGTCATATAATTGGAATCATATTGTACAGTGTTTTGAGCTTCTTTCACTTAGTAATATGAATTTAAAGTCGTTGCATGTCTTTTCATGATTTGATAGCTCATTTCGTTTTAGCATTAATTAACATTCCATTGTCTGGATATAAAACAGTTGATTTATGTACTTACCTAACTGAAAAACATCTTGGATGGTTCCAAGTTTGGGAGTTATGAATAAAGCTGCTTATAAACATTCATGTGAAAGATTTTGGGTGGACAAAAGTTTTCAACTGCTTTGAGTAAATACCAAGGAGCTCAGTTGCTGTGTGATACAGTACCATTATGTTTAGTTTTATAAGAAACTGCCAAACTGTGTTCCAAAGCGACATTTTTCATTCTCACCAACAATGTATGAGAGTTCCCTTTACTTCTTATACTCACCACAATTTGGTTTTGTCATTCCACATTTTAATTGCCTGAATATTTATGAAAGGTTCTCTCATTTGTTTTACTTTCCCTTTCCCTGATGACATATGATGTGGAGTATCATTTCATATGCTTACTTGCCATTTGTATAGCTTCTTTGGTGAGATGGTCTATTAAGGTCTTTGGCACTTTCATTTTTATCTTGTTTTGATTTCTTATTGTTGAGTTTTAAAAGTTCTTTGTATGTTTTGGGTAATGGTCTTTTATCACATGTGTCTATTTCTCCCAGTTTGTGGCTTGTCATCTCATTATTTTGTCACTATATTTCTTAGGGAATAAATTTTTAATTTTAATGAGGTCTAGCTTATCAGGTCTTTCTTTCATGGATTGTGCCTTTTGTTTTGTATCCAGAAAGTCATTGCTATACCCAAGGACATCTAGGTTTTCTTCTATGTCATATTCTAGGAGTTTTATAATTTTTCATTTTACATTTTACATTTAGGTCTACAAGCCATTTCAAGTCTATTTTTTTGTGAAGGGTGTAAGGTCTGTGTCTAGATTCACTTTTCTCACATGTGGATGTCCATTTGTTCTGACATCATTTGTTGAAGGGATTATCTTTTCTTCATTATGTCGCCTTTGCTTCTTTGTCAAATATCAGTTGACTATATTTATAAGGATCTATTTCTGAGCTCTCTGTCTTGTTTCATTGATCCATTTGTTTATTCTTTTTTTAAAGATTTTATTTATTTATTCATGATAGACACAGAGAGAGGCAGAGACATAGATAGAGGGAGAAGAAGGCTTCCTGTGGGGAACCTGATATGGAACTTGATCCCAGGATCCTGGGATCACAACCTGAGCCAAAGGCAGACACTCAACCACTGAGCCACCCAGGCATCCCTATTTATTTATTCTTTTATCAATACCACACTGTTCTTTTCAGATATATGAAAGTAATGGTATAAATTTTCCTGTAAACACTACTGTGAGCTGTGTGCCATGAGCTTTGTGTTATCTCATTTTTATTACCATTCAGATGATGATATTTTCTAATTCTCATTGATACTTCTTCTTTGAATTAGGTTGACTTTTGTTAATCTTAATGTCTATGTCTTCTTTATTCTTACATTTAGATTGTTTGTTTTCCTGTTTTCTGTGTAACTAAGGTGTGTTATCATCACCTATTACTATGACGTTCCTTGTTTTCGTCATTTTTTAAATATATTTCAAGACTAAGTTATTTGTTGCATTAAATTTATGGCCACAATATTATCTTGTTGAGTTGAACCTTTTATTGCTATGAATCATTCTTTGTCTCTAGTAATGTGATTTTTTCTTACTGTCTTCTTTATATAATATTAATATAACTACTTCATTATGTTTTTGTTGGATTTTTATATCTTTTCCTATCTTTTAGATTTTATAATTTCTATCTTCTCATATATTAGATATTTCTCATATAAACTTACACTACATTCAAAAGATTCACTCTTATTTTTAAATTTTACATTAATATTTATAATAGTAAAATATATTGGATGAAATATATCCCATTATTTTTCCTGTCTTCTTTTCTATATATTGGTTATTTTTTATAATTCCATCATCTCATTTACTATTGTGTAGTTATATTATCTTTTTTTTCATTGTTTGTGCTAGAAGTTTCAACTTACCAAAGTCTTGTAAAAAAATCATTGCTTATTTTTTATCTATTTTTATGAGCTTCCATAAAGAAAACCATTCCCTTTCTGGCCAAATAATGCTTTTAAAAATTCCCCTTAATATAGGAGTTCTGATGTTGAATTCTCTGTTTTTATTTCACTGAGAATATTCTTTTGTTATCTTCACTCCTAAAGGGTATTTTTATTTGATACAGAATTCTAGATTATAGTTGTTTTCTTTCAGGACTCTGAATATATCACTACCTTGTTTTCTGACTTCTTTCTTTGTTGTTATTGTTGTTTTGAGAATTCAGCTTTCAGTTTAATATCTGACTCTTTGAAAGTGATCTGCTGTTTTCTTTAACTTTTGCTTTGCTTTATTGTTTTGTTTTGTTTTAGTAGTTTACTGTTTTTTCTTCCTTCCAAATTTTCTTCCTTCCTTTCTTCTTTCCTCTTTTCTTACCTTTCTTTCTTCCTTCATCCTTCCTTCCCTCCTTCAACTTTTTTCCTATTTTCCAACCTCTAATTTTCTCTTGTTTCATTCAAATATTTTCTTCTGGTTCATCTTTTGTCATCATTAAATATCTCACCGATTTTGTAAAAACTATTGTCTGACACATTCATTATGTATTTAATTTTACTTTATAAATATTTCAGTTCTGGAATTTTATTTTTGCTCTTTGTTGTAGTCTTCACTTCTATGCTAAATTTTTACTTTTGTTTTTCATTATTTAAATAAATTAAGTGCAGTTATTTTAAAATCTATCTAGGTCTGGTAACTTCCTTATCTGGATCCCTTGTTAATCCCCTTTCTTGTGTGCTGGTTTTGATTTTTGATAGGGTAGTCCTATTTTCATTTGTTCCTGATTATTTTTGTCACATATATATTTAATGAAAGATGAGGAAATAGCTTGAGGTCTGGAATACTGTTATCTTTCTCCAGAATGATTTATTATTGTTTCTTGCTGGTGGTTAGAACTACCAACCAAACTTCCTGGATAATCCTAAACCATTATAGAATTTGAGATAATGTAAAAGTGTAAAAAAGTCCAGTAGTATTAATTCCTGGAACAGATGGACTAAGATCCTTTTAATTTAGATCTAGCTCGTAGCTTTTTGCATCCTCAGCCAAAGCACACCAGTATTTCCATAGTTCTCCTTCCTTTGCAGGCTCTGAATTATGATCTTGCCACAATGCTATCAGATTTCTGCTATTCAACTTCTTTCCTGTGTCTTTAAGAATGGTCAGATGCTTTTAGGGAGAAGAGTTTCCTCAGAGGTTGACCCCAACTTGATTTTTTTTAAGTATAACTTTTAATTGACTTATTTACTCTATAATACTCTTAAGCAATTGTTTTGTGTTTTTTTTTTCTTTTTTGTCCATCTGTCCCCCTCAGTGTGTGGGAAAGGTTATATGAAAAAAGTGTTATAATTTTATAGTATATTTTAACATCAGGTTGCTATGTGAAACAGACTACTAGAATTTTATAGTTTAAAGTTTTAACATCATGATATCTATTCAGTCCTTGTTTTTGTGGATTGTTCCACTGAAGACAGTGTGGTACTGGCACAAAAACAGACACATAGATCAATGGAACAGAATAGAGAACCCAGAAGTGGACCCTGAACTTTATGGTCAACTAATATTCGATAAAGGAGGAAAGACTATCCACTGGAAGAAAGACAGTCTCTTCAATAAATGGTGCTGGGAAAATTGGACATCCACATGCAGAAGAATGA